TTCAGCGTGCTGAATGTTCGCTCTGCGTCGGCGGAAGAAATAGGCGTCGTCAAAATGATGTCCAGAAATTTTGTAGACGCCGCAAAGGTAGTTACTAGAGTGTTATCTATGAGGAACCCATAGAGCGCGCAAGTTGATGTGATGTTCAAAAAAGTTTGATTGGTGTATATACATCGCAATTCATTTTCCAATTTACCCACGTTTATCATGGGGTAAAATTTGGAGACAGTAGCCAACAAATGGATGGGAAATTGACGTGCAAAGTTTGAAAAATTTTCGGGGTTCATCAAAGAGAACGCGGCAAGGTGTTCAGTGCGCAGACGATCGCCTATTTGATTCACCAGAATGTCACAGCATTCCTTTGCAGACAAAATCAAACGCTGCGTTGTTTGCCCGCGGCGTAAAGAAGCACTCCATGTGTCGTCGTATTTTATTGTTTCCCGGATACGAGATACAGCATCGCAGAAGTCTGAAATACACGACTGCACAGACGCTCCATCCATTTGCCTTGACTGCAATGCGCCGTATAATACATCCACGTGATAGAATATTGTGGAGAAAAAAGCGAGAAAAAATAAAAACTCACCATCTTCTAGCAGACGCTTTAGACCTGCCGCCTCCCTCACGCGTTCGTCCCAAACCGGAGAGCTCTGAATGCCATTGAAACACTCAATGAGCTCAGACCTAATTTCAGACACGCCCTGCACCACGCGTGATTGGAAGTTCAACGTGTTGGTGCACAAGCTGGGAGACGGCGGCTACATATCTGGCGAAGGAGGTCAGAGCGCTTCGGCGAAACGGAAAAAAATGAAGAAAACCCCGAAACATTTGCAAAAAATATACGGACGAGAGGGGTATCAAGACACATATTTTTAATAACGAGGTTAAATTGGTGTGCATAACAATGTAAAAAATGCGCATGAGGAAATCTTTTTTTATATAAACTTGAACACCATGTTTCGACCCACTCATGACTGCCGCGCCGTCATAAGTTTGAGCTATCAATTTTGACTTCGCGTTGTAAGGCTGTAACACTTCTTTCAGTACAGCCGATATCCCGCAAGCCGTGCGATCAACGATTGGTACAAAGCTGTGAAATCTCTCGGTAGGTTTACCATCTTTCACAAACCGAAAAATCACAGCCAGTTGGGAAACGCACGTGATGTCAGTTGTCTCGTCAGACTGAATCGAAAGGAACTGGCAATTCTTAATTTCCAGAGCCAAATGTTGTAAATAAATTTTATACATTGAGTCGAGCAAATCATTTTGGATATCCTTAGATGTCCCTTTCGAAACAGTTGCGGCATCAAGATGATCTCTCAATACTGTATCTAGGGATGCGGTGTATTCCACCATATCCAAAAATACCCCTCTATTAGAAGAGCCCGTTCATCGTGCCCACGGAGGGACAGCTCGTGACAACCAATGAACTTCAAAACATCTATCAATCGACCGAGAACATGGCGGTTTTTCTCGACGTTTTGGTTGTGCCGACGAATAGAAACCGCGCGTCCTTCATCCAACTGTGCTGCAATATTAACATTTCCGAATGTTCGGTATTTTACTGCATTGTCCAGATGCTTCATAGAAGATTGATGATCCCTGGCACGCTCGGAAAGATGTTTAAGATCTCTAAAACCAAATTTACACCAACGTGAGTCACGGGCGGTAGCGAAAAGTAGGCAATAAAAACAAAAAAGTGCATTTTTGTCCTCGCTGTAACACAACCATTCGTGTTTTTTATACCAAGTTTCTGCGCAGATGTACGCCGACGCTTTCCTCCGTCATGGGATTGTTCCAGTGAACAATTTTTTGGTTGATAAGGCCCAAGACGTTGTACCTCTAATTTTTGTTCCAGCGGCAGCTGCGAAAACGGAGTGCGAAGTAGTGCATCAACCTTATTCATTATGAGGTCTAAGGCTAAGAAATGCGAAGCCGGAAAGAAGTGAGGAGCTCAAAAGGAATGTGGAAAATCGAAAGCAAATGGACTAAAGGTATCTAACTGATTCAAATAGCGAAACAAGCGACAAAAACGAAGGCGAGGAAACTATCAACTCTTCAAGCAACCAACGAACGAGAAGGAATGCGTGAATATGTCAACACGTTGTTGTAAGAAACGTCGGCATTGTGTCGTCATAATTTCGGGGCTAGCCCCGATGATTTAGTAAAAGAAACAGAAAACAAACGAGACAAACGCGGCGAGTGGAAGATAAAAGAGAGAATACGATATACAATGAGCAACCGGGGCAAAATCGGCGTCGCCCCGTCGACGTTCGGCGAAGGCTTTGCGAGCGAAAAATGAACCATGTCGGGAGAATATGGCTAGTGTAGACAGTCTGTGCAACCGATATTGAGGTTTTTTTCGAATATTTTTTTTTTACCGAAAAAACAACCGGGGCATTGCCCCTATTGACGCGCCGCCACTGGCATTTATAGTACATTGGATTGTTGTTCAACAAGTATGCCGATTTCGAGTTGCTTTCGAAGTAAGTTGCCAATTCTAATCGTCATAATTGACCATTTGACAATGGCGTTTCTTGTGATGTCACAGATGGACATCCGTTGAAATTACCTCTGGACTCAAATTTGCTTCAATGGCCGTTTCTATTCTCGGGTCAACATTTTCTCGTCTGTCAAGCTCCATAATGCCCGTCTTGCTCAGCTCTGAGCTGCGCTAGAAGACCAAATGACATTGTAGGATTGTTGCGGTGGCAAAATACACCGTCAAATCGGCATATCACTATAAAAGTTTCCAAAAAGATGACCAAAAATGGTTCTACGTTGTGTTTGTGGCCAAATTTAACGCGTCAGATAGTTTTTTTTATTCTTAATTGCGTTATATGTTTAGGTAGCATATAGCTTAAAGTTCAAAATCCACCCTTCGACTTTATTCTAGCCCTTATAACAGCTGACTTATTGGATTCGGTACAACAACACGGCGAAAATTCCACAAGACTCCATTGTTTCGCGTTTTCCAAATATGGCACAAGATGGCGCCCATGAACTTGTTTAACATTAGGCAAGTTGGTTGCCGGCCGCTGGTGCTATCTGGGTAGCCTATCGCAGCGTTAGCGAGACTAAATTTTGTACTAAACTAAAGCTCCTCGAAAGACATATTGACAATTTAAAGTTATTTAATTGACAACTATTTCTTGGAAACACAACCAAAAACTGAAAAATAACACGCAGAACCATGAAAACGACGGAATGTTTACAACCCTGCTGAGTCTGTCTGAGCGGCTGCAGAAATTGCAATTGTTACGTCATTGTTGGCTTATTTCCGATTGGTTATGGTTAAGGAAATAAACAGGGAAATCGATGCTCATGGAAATCCAAATGTTTCGCCCAGACTAATGACATGTTTCATGTCATTGCTCAGACATATATTCAAGCGTGGTTGTAAACATTGCCTCCTTTTGATGATAAGATAGACTAGCCTAAAATTAGCTATCAGTACTTATAAGCAGCACGTGGTATATTGTTTTGAATGAAAATGATAGTTTTGAACAAGCGAGCCTGTTTGTAAGCGCCAACTTTCACAAACAACGTTAAAAACTTTGCAATGCTGAATTATGGGGAGAATCTTTCAGGGGTCAAGGGTCAGGGAAACGTCCATTTGCTATTGTTGCACACTAAATTTCATATGATTTTAACAATAGACACTAGAATAGACATCAAAAAAGCCCAAACACCAAACTGAAATTCTGACGCCAAACGTGTTTAAAAAAACTAAAACTGTTAAATTTGGCGTTAAAAAAGCCAATACAGTAACTCTGCTCACTATGCGCTACCTTCAAAGCGATAAATTTGTAGGGCTCTAAATTGACAACGCTTTGCTGAGTGCGTTTTCACAATGGTCAAAGCCGCAGTCTGAAACGGAGTAGTCGATATTTTTGCTTACGACATTGGACCGGTCGATATTCTTTGTATTCGCTCATCTTATGAAGTAGTATCCATTAGCGTGTAACTGTGTAATGATGTTTTACAGTTACAACCAACCAGGGACGGTCGCTGCGCTACCCGCAAGGGGAAATGTAAGAAAGAGATTTGAGTATAAAGGAGCATATGTTTCATTATGAGTTTGTTGGATGCATCAGGGTCGTTGCGCCGGACGAATGGCGGAAATTCGTCCGGCGCGTAGCCCCCAGCCACTTTGGTTCATTAAGTAGTTTAAACAACACGTCATAAACTGATCACTCTTGATGAATGTCGATTTTTATCAATTTTAAGGTCCGTGATCACTCGACCGTGACGAAATTTTTTAGGCATAAAGTTCACTCCAACTACCTTGTACACCCCAAATATGAGACCCCCAACTATTACCGTTCTCGAGATATGGCAGAAAATCACTGGACCGTGACTGAAGGCTACTAGAAAAAAAATTCCGCTGATACGCGATTGGAATAATTTTTCTGATCATGCCCATGCCTTTAGATTATTGATAAGACCTTCCAGAAGCCGGCAAAAGGCCAAAATCACTAGACCGTGACGGAGGCATGGGAGCAAAAAAAATTTCTTAAAAAAGTATTAAACTAAATTTTCTCAACCTACCTATGTATTTTTTTTCTCAATATCTCAAATCTTAAGCGCAACATTCCGAACTCACTGGGCCGTTACGGGGAAGGGGAACCCCCAAAGTTCGGGTGGTAATATATTCTATTAATTAGTCCCTTTGATATTTAGGCATCACTTTGCCCGAAAACCGATTCCAAGTGCTCCTAATCGCCCAAAAACCATATTACCTAAGTGGGCGTGGCTTTCCACACGTTTTCTCACCACTGAGGGGGCGGTGGCGGTGCCCCCACCCCCGAAAATACTTGGAAAAATTTCCAATACTCGGGCAAACACTTTCTGGCCGTCAGGATCGGCCCGCCAGTTCTCTGGGAAATGGTAATTCAAGTGCTCTCACCTAAGATACTTCGTACCAATGACTTTCGTGCAACGAATTCTGACTTCAACTTTGCATTCGCACTTTTAGTGCTCTATGTTGCCTGACCATCAAGGATGGCCGAATGATCTCACTTCGCTGCGAATACTCGGTGACTCGTGACGGGAAGTCTGACTCGTTGCGTCGTGCCTTTTTCTCCAGTCAATTATGTCGAGCTGAACCATAATAAATTCGCTCTTTGGTGAATAAGTCGTAAGGCTACACGCAATGGGCAAATCGCAAATTCCTCAAGTAGTGGCGTTTGCTTATACTAACTACACATTAGATGCCGAAAAAAGGCGACGGCGTGCGGAATGCCGAAGCTGTGGAAAACCAGTACTCGAAAAAGCTGGTACAACATCAAATTTCACTCGTCATTTGAGAATGCACCATCCAGAAGTGTAAGTGTTTTGCAAAATTTGGTTACAGCAGGGCTGTGCAAAGTGCGGCCCGCAAGGGAAAATTGTGCGGCCCGCGGATCAACTGGAGAGCAGTTTGAAAAAAATTAATTTTTAAAAGATACAAAAGCTAAATGAGTTTTCGTTCCAGCCTATCAGTTGATTTTGTCTAAATCCAACATAGAACATTAGAATAAGATTTGACAGCAAATTATTTGGAAATGAATCTTGGCGTATTTTACTGAAAACATCTCAACCAAGATAACTTTCCACATTTGAAAAAAGTCATGGCTTCAAATATGGCACTTTTCGGTAACATATTTTTTTTCTAAAATGGGCGTAATTTCGAATTGCTAGCACTTCCATTTATGCAAGTTTGAATAAAAGTAGTCGGGAAAAGAATCCAGCAGCAAATTTCTCACTGAACTCGTTTAAATTGGGTGTGACATATATATTTGAATTACAGTTTTAAGAAATTTATGCGTTTTAACTCATCATTTCTGCAAGGACCTTATGATAACATGAGATCAATAACAAAAAGACATCATTTTGTGCCTGCAACTAATAGAAAGCCTTGTTAAATATAGGTGCGGCCCGCGGTTTAACCCGGCAATTGATATTTGGCCCACCTGTGAAAAAGGTTGCACACCCCTGGGTTACAATATTCAGGTTTTACTGTAACTAGGTCCTCATTTCACTTTCACAGTCCATATTATGCATGGGGTTAGTTAACCAGTTACAGACGTACTCGCAGACTCATATTTGTTTCAGCTGCATAGACTGGAATTTCAGAAATTTTACCTTATTTTGATAATTGAATGGATCATGCTCCAGGTTATAACTGCAAAGCCGGGAAGTGCAAAAAATGTTAAAATAATCTGGGATTTTTGGCTCAAACCAATTTATCAAAGGTTAAAACAGACTTGATCCAAGCCTAATTTTAATCTGATTCTAGTCAGGCGGAAGAGTATAAAAATATACCATACCCTAAGTTAACATTTTTGTTGAGACAATAAGTCTGTGGAAGTGATTACTACATATATATATGTCCCTTGTAGAAAATGTAGAGATTCTTTATGGGCCCATACTTTATCATTTTCACTTCATTAATTACCAAGACTTACAGCAATAAAACCACCGGTGTACACTGGCAGACTGGTTTTAATTAATAGCCGCCAAATTTAATTATTAAGTGAATAATTCGGTATCATTTTCACTTCATTAATTACCAAGACTTACAGCAATAAAACCACCGGTGTACACTGGCAGACTGGTTTTAATTAATAGCCGCCAAATTTAATTATTAAGTGAATAATTCGGTTTCAGGATTTTCACAAGCATAGATAGATCTGACTTCATCATGGAATTCCTGGCCAATTTCCTTTCCAATAATTACGATTGATCGAATTAGGCAATATAGAAGCAATGGTATCACTATATAAAAGTATACCTTATTACTAGTTGATATTCTGTCAACATTTGTGTCATAACTAGTGTAGTCATCAGTCAGGTTTTATTTTACAGATATCAATGCTACCAAGAAAGCAAGTTGGAGTCTAACATAAATTCACATAATTCTGACCACCAGAATTGCACTCATCAGAAATTTACTAACGAGTCACCCGTTGAATCATTGAACAAGCTTTCAGATGAAGCTGTGAAACATGGTGGCAGTTCAAATTTAGATGAACCTCTGACAGCGTGTATTGTGCCTAATTCGAAAGTGACGAAAAACAAAAGTACTGGCGTTGTCAATGTTAAAAAGTTTCCAATACATTTGGAAAGCAAAACAAATCTCAGAGATGAATCTTTGTTACTTGATCTTATAATAAATGAGAGTCTGCCACTAGACATTGTCGAGTCAAAAAGTTTCAATGCTTTTTTAAGAAGCATAAATGAAAATGCTGGTTCTATAAGCCTTGATACAGTAAAGTCGAACATTGTCAAGAGAAGTGCAAAGATTTGGGCTGATATATGGCAGCGACTCATGAAGTGTCAGTCTGTGAATGTAACTGTTAATGTTTGGACTGATGGAAAAATGCGTTCTTTCGTTGCCGTCACTGCACATATGTTAGAAGAAAGTTCATATGGGATGGAGTTGTCATCATGTCTGTTGTCATGTGAAAGATTGATAGGGAAACATGTAGGTGAAGAAGTTGCTTCTGCTTTTGCTAGAATTGTAGAATATTTTAATCTTGAAAAGACTTTGGATTATATCATCGTGGTTGATTCAACTGACCTGAAAAATGCACTGTCCATATCTTTTCTTCCACAAAACTGCAACTCAGATGCTTACACACTTGATAGTGGTGTACATGTAGATGATGACTCCATTTGGAACTCTTTGGATGAAAGACCTAAGAAAGCGCTTGAAGTCGAAGTAGTTGATCATGCAAGACAGTCGTCTCTTCAGTGTTTTGAAGTTTCACTACATGCTTTCCTTCACAATGTCTTGGAAAACACTGAATGTATGATTCAATTAGTTTTTTATTGTCTGTTTTTTATCGAAATCCTTTGAAATGTTCAGTATATTCTCAAATCTATAACATTGTCAATTTGGTGATATGATTGGTTGATATTTTGAAACGCTTTTAAAACTTACACTGTTGAAGTAATTTTATGTTTTTTTTCAGGTATACGTCAGCCTGTGCTAAAAGTTTGTTATTTTGTCTCTGAAGCACACACCAATCCTAGCTTTGCGGCGAGTCTTAGCATCAATTTGTCATTGAATGTAGATAGTCTTACACCCAATACCAGACGGTGGAAGCCAACTATACAAAATATAGAAGCAATACTTCGTTGTAATCAAAAAATATTGAATAATTTGTGTGGACGTAATCATGAAATGGGCATGATATTGACTGAGGAGGATTATTCCATGCTAAAAGAATTATTAGAACTTCTGCGACCATTCTATGAATCTACTTTATTGGTTGAGCAGAAAAGCTGTTCAATCAGTGTTGTTGTTCCAACAGTGCTTTCACTATACAAGCATCTGATGAATTTCACACACAAAGTAAAATGCCTTCGGAATATGGTTACTCACATGATAGATTCCTTGTACCTTCGTTTTAAAGGTATTTTCATCAATGTGGGAATGTCTGATTTGAATTTATATGATGATCATACTGGGAATGCACTCAATTTCAGTGAGCAAGTTTACATCCAAGCAGCTGTACTTGATCCCACTTTCGGATTTCAGTGGTTGAAATTTGTTGACGCTGACCTCAGCATCAAGAGGATGTTGAAGAAAAAAATAATGGGTAAATTTAATCAACTCAGTAGTAACCAAACTTTACGGTGCGAACATCAATCTATTTCCGTAATAATTATGAATGTTGCGAAGTACTACTGGCGCCACTAAACATTCAGTTGCATTATGATAATTTATGTTAGGGGTTCTCAAACATTCACGGCAGTGTTCCCTCTAAGGTGTGCGCGCCCACACAGCTTTCAGAGGCTTCGCACACGCATAGATTTACTGCGCACAGATGTATTTCGATGTAATGTAACAATGTTCTCGGTTGGCAGGTTGAGAAAGTTTGTTGTTGGCCCACCCATTACCCGGTTAAAACGCCAAAATTTCTTCATTGGTTTTGCACAAATATTAGTCATTTCCAAAAAAGTGCGCACACACCCAAATTTCTGCGCACACATACTACAAAAAATTAGAGGGAACATTGATTCACGGCACGTTCTCGTACATTCTGAAAACTTCAATATAATGTGCCTGTTTTAAGAGTTAATAGAATTGAAAGTTTTAATGAGTGTGCTATTTTAATATACTGTTCTGTACCTGATCATTGAACTCAAATATGTATAAACAAGGGGCTTACTGCACCTCAATAGTTGCATTCCAAGTAAAGTTGGTTGCATTTGACTGACTGAAAAAAATCTAACTTAATTTTCCTGGTAATTAAAACACTAGCATCCTTCCATATTAGTACCAATCGATCTTCCAACCATTCATTTTTTCCAACAACTTGGGAAATATAGGAAAGCTTGCCTTTTTTGTGCTGCACAAGCCCATGTATAGGAAATGATAGAGACACGAAATGACACTTTTGTACTCGTTCACTCCACGCATTATTTAAAACGGCCATACAATATGAAAGTACATATAATACTTTGTAAGTTTGATAATACATTCATTATATATTCGTCATCATAGTCCGAGGGAAATATCGATTGAGACCTGACGGTAATTAATGGATAAGAAGACACATCGAGCGTACAATTAACTATGTTTCAACCTCGGTGACTATTGTACGGTGTCTAACGCAACTTTGCGTAATGTCTGCATTGAATATCGGCTAATTTTAGTGTCTAAAATGGCGTTGTATCAACTATCGCAGAGGCGTTTTTATTTTTGGTTTTATATTTGGTAAATAAACTTGAATAAAGCGGTTTCATACAGGACGAAGTTCCGCGCGAGAAAAAAAAAAACTATTCATGGGCGTCCTCATGGCACTACACCTGTGCAGAGCGATACTTGTAAGACGGGCTTTATACAGTTCACCGACATGATACCGATGTTCACGGCCATAACCATATCACAATGACGAAAACAACCGGCGATTTGAAAAAAAAAACGCTCTCAAATTACAGACTCTGCTCAACTGAATTTAAAAAAAATCTTGTACTATGAATTCTGGAAACAACAAGTTATCCTCAGAAGGAATATATACCAACAACCATGAGCAACGTTCCGATAAGCTGGCCGACCATCCCGTGCAGTACTTTCGTTCTGCCGCACACTGCATAAGTGATAAAATGTTGTGTTCTTTTCTATTTTTTCTAATTTTCCGCGCAGACCTTTTTTTAGAGCTCACGTGGCCTTCTATTCCGCGCAATTAAGCAAGCTCTTAGACTAGAGGGAACGATGACCATGAGTAAATATATAATCTATCGACATATTTTACGGCTCAATAGAAACCAGTTATTCGATTCCCTTCATCTCTTCCATGAATATTATTTAAAAAAAAATGTCTTTGCGTACAGATGACATTGCCATGTCCGCGGAATCTCAGATGTGTTTTGAAGCAGCGAATAATATCAATGCCATAGATGATGAAGATAATCAGCCTCCAGCAAAAAAACTTAAGTCGTTCGGAAACTTCGAAAAAAATGCCAGTGATGAGGAAAATACAACTTCTGGACAACTACAGAAATATCTTAGTATGGTTGAATTTAGTTACAAAATAATTTCTTGCTCTGAATTTTGGAGCAATAACAAAACTATTTTTAATCTCATTTTTCCTCTTGTAAGACGTATTCTTGCCGTCCCGGCACATTCTACGTTAGTCTCGCATGTCATGGCAAGGGGTGGGGTAATGACTAGATCCAGGCAATCGACATTGGATGATAACATGCTTTCCCACATTGTTTTTTTGAAAAGCAATTTTGATTATAAATTTCATTATAAAGATGATGGTTATGTATGATTGTAAATGTATCTCTCTTTTCGCACAGTCATTTTAATTCCATTAAAAGTTTGATCATTTTACGTTTTCATGTCTCTTTTCCAGTTTTGTATTTGAAGAATTAGTAAAATGCGCAATGATGGTGGTATTAAGAAGGTAGAGGGAATTAACTTTCCGCCACCAAAAAAATCGGACTGCGACATTCTTAATAGCGGGTTGTCACCACGCGAAAAAATCTTGCCATTTTACAATCCATGTTAGTCATTGTACTTACCCGCTTGTCGATATTCTGGATTTCCCGTTCCTGGTTACAGGCAAGAAACCTGTGGGATGATAAGTTGATGTTATAAACAATTTAAGAAGCTCGAGACTGTAATAAAACTCCATGGCACCGGTAAACGTGACGTCATAATACTAGTCGCTATGAGAGGAGTGATGGGATGGCCGAGTTCTTCGTTTTTAGACAAACTCATAATTAGTCACCTTACATAACTTAGGTTTAGACCCACGGTTTTTATGTTTTTGCCCTATATTTTATCTTATCCATTCATGTTATCGATTCTATAATGATGTGGCTTTGTAGAACACAGAATCTTCTGAAAACTGGCTATGGTACTTATTTGTAAAATCGCACTGCTGAAAGGTTTTTATATGAAAAGCATGCTAAATGCGGTAGCTAGTTACCCAGTTTTGTGCTACAAACAGAGATACCATTTGTGATGTGAATATTTGATGACAGCCAGGGATGGCCAATTCGAATAAAGTATTCGAATATCTCGTCATTCGAATATCGGAATTCACGTTCATAAGAATATCGGATATTTGTGTGACGTCACACATTTTCGACGCCGCTTTCAAGACGTTTCCGTTGAATGAAAACATTCTCGATAGAAACTTGGGCGTGATTGTTTTCATCAATCATCAGCGTAACGTGTTATTTAGGCCGTAAATGCCTTTACGGTTGTGGTATTTTCGCTAAAACTAAAATTTTCCGCAAATTTGTTCCACGATAACGATAACAATTATTTTATTTTTGTACGCGCACGGAATTGTAAATCTGGTAAATACGTTCATCGGCGGCGAGTTTCTAAAGACAACGCAACCTTTTTGATTGAAAAGCGGCAATTTAAAATACTGAAAATAAAACCGTAAACAATAGAAGTTTTATTGAAGCCCGCGAAAATTTAAAAAACGCTTTTCTAGGCAGTGAAAATCGCAAAATTTCGTATGCCTCTGGCACACATTATGTTTGGTCGGCGTTTAGAAACATGTCGTCACTAATTGAGGGCGGGATTCGCCTGATTATCCATTACTTTAAATTGCCGTCGAATATTTTCGTGTTACCACGATACAAGGTTTGAAACGCGACTGTTTCCCGGGCTGTGAGGATGTATATAATATAATTAATCTAAAGTATATTCAATCAATTTTATTGTGATGAAATAAATTTTACTCTGGACATATTACAGCATATTTATGGATTTTTCGAACGGTTTTATCTGAAAATAATCAGAGTGGCAGCATTTCGATCGAGCGGAGTCACTGTTAACAAGTACATCTAAATATTTGCCGAATTCGCAAAATACGGATCAAAACAATATTTAATAGGGCAGTTTACCTCACGTTTTTATTTTTATGACCGCGGATTGCAATGGTATATAAGAGTGGTGAGGATTTTATTTTGTCGACGCAACCTCAGGTTAAATTGAAGACAATTAAATTAACAAAGCAAGACATTTTAAATATGCCCGTGTCGGTCACGAATTCATCACTTTGCACAACAGAAAAATATATATTCGTTGTTATATTATTTGTTGTAAAAGTCGGACTCTTTTAACAGGTGGCATAATCGCGGCGATGAATATGTATTTTTTAATTTACTGCTAAACTTTGTATGTATATTCATTGTATGAAATGAATTATACTCTACACTTAACAGGATTGTATATCATTATTTGGGATTTTTCTAACGGCGATAACGAGTTGGCAAGATTGCAAAAATACTTATTAAAATAAATACATCAGGCACAGGCAGTTTATCTCGTAATTTTAGGTCACAGATCGCCGTAGAACCGAATAGTAATGTTTTTTTTGACGTGAGAAGAAGCAACCGCGAGTTACGTTGCACACATTAAATTAATATATAAAGATATTTCAGAATCTCGTAGTTGTCATGGATTGAATATTTTACGTAACAGGAAGATCATCATTATACGCTGAAAAGACGGCTCTTTTAACGAGCGCGGAATCGCGGTGGGTGTTACAGGCGGCAATGGGAATTTCCGATTTCGAAAATCCTGGCTGCGCGGCTGGCAGTGGTGGTCATCTATTCTCTACTAATTTATTTCTAATTCCAAACAAAACAATATGTTACACATAATAACAATATGGATCACACAAATTAATATACAAATATACTGGCAGGTAGTAGAATACTCTAGGCTTAAATATTAGAATTTTTAAAGGCATAATGGATTTCCGATGGTTGTTGCCTGTATTGCCAATAAATTTTATTACTCTCAGAAAATATACACAATTATCTGAATACAAGTAGTATTTTTGTCAATAAACTTGACTATTATCGTAATATCATGGTACCAATGATAGAAAGCGTCAGACAACTCCTTGGCTATCTTTTTATATGGTCATTTGTACAAAGTGAATAATTTTAATAAACTGACTGTGTCACAAGATGCTATTATTTTTTATTGATAGCTATAAACTATCAATTACTTTGTGTACATATACTGTTGGTTTGTGGCTTCAATCTGATATTTCTATTGAAGCTTATTTCCTAATTTACTGGGTTTTAATAAACTAAAACAAAAATGTGTTATTTTCGATTTTAGAATGTATTCGGAATTCCAGATTCGAAAACATTATTTTAGAATGTATTCGAAATAGTTTAGTATTCGGAAATGGCCATCCCTGATGACAGCACACTTTAAGTTCTGGTTGGACGGAATAATACAAATTTATTCTTGTCGGCATTAAGAGATAAGTTGTTAATTAACCATTTTCCCGCTATGAAAACAAATAACTGTCTAACTCAGTGGTTCCCAACCTTTCTACCCTGGCGGACCGGTAAAATTAAATGAAATGTATTCGCGGACCGGCATAAATTGAAATGATTGGAACAGAAAATAATAGCATATATTTGCGTAATGTCGGGCAATCATTATGCTTTTAGAAAAAAAAAAGGTATACCTAAAAAATTTCACATTAGGAAAATTTATCAAATAATGGCGGCAAAAAATTGAAAAGGGTGGAACATAAAATAATGACATATATCGCCGGATGAGAACAGAAGGGGCCTAAGTCACATTTTTGCAAAATTCACTTTTTTCAATATTTTGGGGGTTTTGAGCCATGCTCTACAAGGTGGTGGTCTTGAAATCCTGAATTTCTCAATAATAAAAATTTTAGCTGGACTTAGGACTGTAGAAGTTAAGAACAGAATGGGCCTAAGTCCAGCTAAAATTTTTAATATTATGAAATTCAGAATTTCAAGACCACCACCTTGTAGAGCATGGCTCAAAACCCCCAAAATACTGAAAAAGGATAGTCCCAAGTTCCAATATGATGAGCATGAACATCAGAAATGAAATGTCAGAAACTTACATCCTTAAAAATTTCTTCAGTGCAACTTAGGCCTAAGTCACCTTGTTTTACCTTGCATCCCATACAAAAAAATTCAGAAGTTGTTGAGAACAGAATGGGCCAAAGTCCATTAAAGGGTTAAAAAAGCAGGAAGGAATTGAAGCTGAAGTGCCAAAAAATATTGATTACAAAGATATTCACATCCACATTAAAATAACCAGAGCTCAGGTCTTTACTAAGTGTGAATATCTAGAAATTCAAAAATGAAAAAATTCCAAATTGTTTTTTGCGTTTTTCTCAAAACTCAAAATTGTGACTTAGGCCTGTTCTGTTCTCATCCGGCGATATTTGCATAATGAAATGCAGTGCTTGCCACCCATCATGCATAAAAAAGGCACACATCTCACATAAAAAACATGCACATGCCAAATCATGTAGAAGCACAATTAACTCCAGTGAGAATTGAGCTACTGTTTCGTTTCCAATACAGGATTGCAAACGAGGCATTAGAGAAGATTTTGCAACACGTAGCTCTGCAGCGGCTCACAGTCAATTTATTTGCTTCGTTTTAATTAAAGCTAGAAGTAACTGGTTGAAAATTCGGGCAACAGTTTGATTGCTCGATTACTTAGCGATTGGTATATATTCGTTATCAAAAGAGCTCAAAAATGAATTGTGACAATGACTCTGTTATAAATATGGACTGTAAAGTAGAGGTTTCATCGGGTTCATCATATTAATCTCTCTGCAGTTGATTTGACGGAGCGCTTTCGCGATGAATCTGAAACCAAAAAGCCACGGCGCCAAGACGTCGCCGGGCCATTAAGACCGCTTACTTATCAAACACCAATATGACGACGGCTGAGAAATTGCATAATAAAGCAACGTAACTTCGACTTATTAATCAAGAAAAGCATGCAAAACGGAAAAAGCAGGCATGCTTATTTTTCAGGTCTCTAAATCTTGCGAGATTTGACGGTGCGCCTTAGCGATGAATCGGAACCGAAAAAGTGATAAGTGTGATTACTCGGCGCCAAGACGTCGCCGGGCTATACTGCACGTATCAAAGAGCAATATGACGGTGGAAGAGAAATTGCGTAATAAACCAACGTAACTTCGTCTTTTCGACTTCGGTAAAGCGATTGAGACGGTAGAAAAACAACGAAATGAAATTTCCCGTGGACCGGCAAAAAAGCTTCGTGGACCGGCACCAGTCCGCGGACCGGCGGTTGGGAACCACACATTGTCTGTTAACTAGACTTATCGGTTTTTATTCTCCTCCAGGATTGATATGTAAATCCTATCTTATTAATGTCGGTTGGTTCCCGGTTTGCAACTGAATAGTTGTTCCAGGGTTTTTTCCTAAACGAATCAAATCAGTGCTATCAGCAAATTTGATTGACTCATGGGGGTTCAGACACTTAGGCATGTAGTTTTCGTAGGGTAGAACAAATAATGGGCCAAGTAAAGACCTTCGAGGAAT